GGGACTTGGGACTCTGAGATCTGGCCTTTTCTTTTTCTCTTGCTTATCTTCTGGCTCCGTTAAAATCTTTTAGTTCTGGTTTTTGTAATTAAGTGGGCATCAGTGAATGGCGACTTTGTGCACTTTTTGCTGTACTTATGTATTCCTATACTCAGTACATCTGACAATAAATAAATCTAAATCTAAATCCAGATAAGGGGTGCAAATCTGTTCGCTGTATTCCACCTGTGGTCTGACTAGGACCTTGTACAGTTTTAGCAAAATTTCCCTATTTTTATACACCATTCCCTTTGAAATTAAGGGTATCATTCCATGTGTCTTCCGTGTTATCTGCTGAGCTTGTATATTAGCTATTTGAGATCTATGCACAGGAATTGCCAAATCCCTGTGTACTGCAGTCTTTCTGGATTTATATAATATTTAGCTTCTCTGTTCTTCCTTACAAAGTGCATAACCTCACATTATGTTCCATCTGACAGGTTTTTGCCCACTTATGTCATCCTTATCATTTGCCTTCCCCACGTATTTTTGTGTCAGTTGCACACTTGGCTACAGTATATTCGCTTTCCCCAACCAAGTCAGTACTATATATTGCAAATAATTGTGGCCCTGGTACTGACTCCTTTGGCAGTCCACTAGATACAGGGTGCCATCCTGAAAATGCCCTCCTTATCACAACTCTTTTGATGTATTAGTTAATCTTCTAATATATTAACTTCAACACCATGGGCTCTTATCTTACTAATTGATCTAACTTATGGTACCTTATCAAATGCCATCTGAAAATCAGAATACATCCCATGATTCCCCTTTATCTATTCTGTTGATTACCTCAAAGAATTCTACTAAATTTGTCAGGCATGATTTCCCCTTTTGTGAAGCCCTACTGACTCAGCTTGATCATTTTATGTATTTCTAAATGCTTTTAACAAATATTAAGATAACTTGCCTATTGTTTGCTATTTTGTCTCTTTCCCTTTTAGAATAACGGTGTAATATTAGCAGTTTTCGCATTCTTTGGGACCTATCCAGAATCTAAGAATTCTTCAACCATTGCTACCAGTACATTGACTATCTCTGTTGCTACTTTTTAATATCGTAGGATGCATTCCATCAGGTTTTTAGTCCCATTAATTTCCTTAACATTTTTTCTTTGTGATAGTTATTGTATATATTTTCTCTTCTCTTTTTACCCCTTGATTATGGAGTACTTTTGATGTTTGAATTCCCTCCATTTTTCACCTGGTTGTGACCAATCTATCTTCTAACTGCAGCCAAGAGAGCAACTCAGTAATCCCAGTTTGAACCTGACAAATAAGGAATGTGTCCAAATAGCTCAGGTGTGTTCTTTCATTCAGTCCCTTTCCCTGTTTCTGTGGGAATCACCTAGTTTTTAATCACTGCTTCTCTAGTGTGGTGTTGCTGAAATTCGGAACTCACTGGAGAAACTGTGAAACTTTAGGCACTACGCAGGAGAAAGATGTGTAGATATGATTCTCAGGAATAAATGGACAGGAACAAGCTCTTTAGTGCTCTGAGCCTGCTCTGACATTCATTGTGATATTACAGTTAATCCGTTAAATCCTTTGGTGAAGAGAAACCTATCAACCTCGCATTTAATATTGAACACACATATCTCCTGTTTGCAGAACAGAATGTCACAATTTCTAGTACCATTTGCATGCAGAATTTCTTTCCTGAAAGCCTGACTTTGACTTTTAGGTAATGTACTCATTCCCCACCCAGTAGAAAGTGTCATGTTATGTCTTGCAGCTGATGTATGATGCATCTTGAAGGGATATGCTTATGAGGTTATCATCATATCATGGCATGTGATCTCATGGTATAAATTCACAGTGTCCTTCTTATTGACTCCTCTTGCAGCATGTCACCCTGCAGGAAGCATGCTATATTACATAAAAACTGCTGAGTTTGAGTTCAGGCACACAAGTGTCTGTGATTGTAGTGTGCATGTGTAAATGCCAGGAGCTGGAATAGAAGTTGGTTGAATTTTAATTCTATGTACTACATACTGTGCCTATTTCATATATTATGGAACTTAACATCAATATCATATCATATCAGCTATCACATCCTATCAAATCAGAAGAAGTCTTGCTCTACCTAAGCTATCTGGCTTCCTTTTGCATCTTGAAAATGTAATTAACTTGCCTTTTTACCTTCTAAATTTCAAGGAATACAACTCATGTTTGTGTAATATCACCACCTAATTTAACTCTTAGAATCCAGATATCATTCCAGCAAACTTACACTGCACTTACTCTAAGACCAGTATATCTTTCCTAAAGTATGGTGCCCATTGCTGGTCACAGTATTCCAGCTGTCATCTAGCCAGGGATATGTATAGCCATGGCATGAATTCTCACCTATGTACATAGAACCTCCTCCCTCACTCCACACCGGCCTCTTCAGAACTTCATCACTTCCAAATTTTCACCACATAAAAGAGGGATATTCTGAGTTAGTGTAGGGGCAGTGTAAATTTATTGTTGCTATGTCTGAATTCCAAGGGTTAAATTATCTAATAAAGTTATTATATTGCACAAACTGGGGTTGTATGCCCTGAAATTTAGAACATAAAAGGTGATGTGACCAAAGAGTTTAGATACAAAAAGGGAACAAGATAGTGCAGGTAGAGAGGAACTGTTTTCCACTTACAAAGTGCTCTGATTCATCCTTTTCTACATCCAAGATGGATGATCTCACAAGTGCCTACTGTGAAATTCATGTGCCATGTTTGCCCATTTACTGTACTTGACTTATTAACATAATTTTGCAATTGTATGCTTCTTTCTGAATATTTTGTAAGATCATAGCAAACTTAGATGTGCATTCTGTCTCATCATTTGAATCCGTGATAAGAACACTGAATAGTTGAGAACCCTAACACAGATTTCTGTTGGATCCCACTTGTTATAGCTGGACAATTAGAGTATTAATTCTAATCTCCATCTCCATCCTAAGTTATATTTATTTCTGTTCATCTTTATTTATGCTATTGTGTGTCATAATTATGTAAGGTCAGACTCAAGCATGGGTCAAGTTAAACATGTTATTCTATTTATTCAAAGTAGCATTTATCTGCGGAGATTTACAGCATCCACAGTTCGTTCGGTTTTTATTTAGAAAACAGAGTGGTCAGTTGGAGGGACTTCTCTTTTAGTGATTCACACTCCTGTTTGCTGCTTTGCACATGAAGTGATCCCTGACCCAGGAAAATGGTTTATGGCCAGAAGCCCTGCACCAACAGTCCTGGGATCAGAAGGGCAAAAGCAGACTGATAACTCTATTCACTTTGGTAAACAAATGGCATCCATTCTATTAGCCTTTCAAATCACACACCCGTGTGTAATATTTATAGCAGCGCTCCTCATTGTAATCATGTTTTGTAGCTTGTCGCTGTTGCCTAACTTACTTTCCAAAGTAAAAACCGAAGAACTGCGGATGCTGTAAGTCAGGAACAAAGACAGAAGTTGCTAGTAAAGCTCAGCAGGTCTGGCAGCATCTGTGAAGGAAAAATCAGAGTTAATGTGAGGTGACCCTTCCTCACCGGACCTGAAACGTTAACTCTGATTTTCTCTTCACAGATGCTGCCAGACCTGCTGAGCTTTACCAGCAACTTCTGTTTTTGTTACTTTCCAAAGAGTTTACCACCATGTTGCTGATAAAATAAAGACAGTAAAGAATTTCATTTTAAAAGGAATTAATATGACTAAGGCAAATAACCACCTGTAAGGTCATTCTGCCTAAATCTTCCTGTGCTGAGCTCAAAATATGACAATAAAACTCAGTGTATACAACATTTTAGGTATAATACCGTTTCCTAGACTTCATTGCATACGGATTCCAAAGTTAGGGACACAGAGGACAATAGGAAGAAGATTGTGCTGAATGTATATAAGTCAGGCAGTGG